TATGAGGTCAAAACGCATGTTAGATGAATGGAGGAGAAGCACTTTAATTTCTATCTATAAGAATAAAGGAGATATACAAAATTGTGCAAATTATAGGAGAGTCGTGCTTATGAGTCATACCATGAAACTATGGGAAAGAGTGATTGAACGGAGATTAAGAAAAGAGACTCAAGTTACTGAGAATCAATTCGGTTTTATGCCGAGAAGGTCGACCATGGAAGCGATTTATCTATTACGGCGAGTGATTGAACAATATTGAATGGACCAACAAGACTCGTACTTGATTTTTATTGACTTGAAAAATGCGTATGATAAAGTGCCTAGAGAGATTATGTGGAAAGCTCTAGAGAAGAAAGGGGTTAGGGTTGCATATATTCGAGTTATCCAAGATATGTATGAAAGGGTATCAACTAGTGTTAGGACACAGGGTGGAGAGACAGACGATTTTCCCACCACAATTGGTTTGCATCAAGGGTCAACCCTAAACCCCTACCTTATTACCTTAATTTTGGATGTACTCACGAAACAAATCCAAGAGATAGTGCCGAGATGCGTGCTTTTTACAGATGATATAGTCCTCCTTGAAGAATCGAGGGAGGAGTTAAATGAGAGGTTGGAGACTTGCAGAAGAGCTTTAGAAACACATGGTTTTAACCTAAACAGAAGTAAGGCGTAGTATATGGAATGTAAGTTCAACAAAAGAAGCAGACTTAGAGGTGAAAGTAAGAAACCATATTATCCCTCAAGTCACACGGTTTAAATATTTTGGGTCTGTAATACAGAATGATGGAGAAATAGAAAGGGATGTAAATCATCGTATTCAAGCTGGATGGATGAAATGGAGAAAGACATCGTGTGTTTTATGTGATGCAAAGGTACCACTCAAGCTAAAGGGAAAGTTTTATCGGACTGCTGTAAGACATGCGATTTTGTACGGAACAGAATATTGGACGGTTAAGAACTAACACGAGAATAAAGTAGGTGTAGCAGAGATGAGAATGTTGCGGTGGATGTGTGGTAAGACTCGACAGAATAAAATTAGAAATGAAATTATTAGAGAGAGCGTTGGAGTAACGCCTATTGTAGAGAAGATGGTGAAAATTAGACTTAAGTGGTTTGGGCATGTAGAGAGAAGACCTGTAGACTTTGTAGTAAATAGTAAGGAGTACACCAGATGGAGAGAAGACAAACTATTCGAGGAAGAGGAAGACCCAAAAAAGACTATAAGAGAAGTTATCAAGAAGGATCTCGAAATTAATGATTTGGATAGAAGCATGGTCTTTGATAGAACATTATGGCGAAAGTTGATCCATGTAACAGACCCCACCTAGTGGGATAAGGCGTAGTTGTTGTTGTATTTATCTTAGTTATCCTGACTATCGGCTCATTTTAGGAGTTATTTGAAAAAAAATGGTGGTTTGGTAATTCTTGAATCAATTAGGTGTTTATGTTTTCAATTTTTTTACTAATTAAATGCATTTTGGAGTATTTTTTTTATTTCATTGGTTGAGCTAAGCAGGTTGATCGTTTGAGTGGAACATTTATACCTCTCTGAATTTGGGATATGTCTAGTTCATCCCTACAAAACCGGCTTATAGGATGAGATTTGCCCCACTTATAAACACAACACAAGTCATATCTCTAAGCAATGAGGGACTAAATCCACCCCTTCAAAACCAACACAGTGAAGGTGTTAGAGGCTACAATAAAGGCAATCCAAAGTACCACAATTAAGGTGACCAGGGGCGTACCGCAATTAAGGCGGAAATTTCAACACACACCCTCACGCGTGGGCCTTAATAAGCCCAAAATATGGACGATGGAGGAAGCCCAATAATGGAACTAGGATAGGCTCTGATACCACCTCAGAATTTGGGTTAGACCTAACTCATCCCTACAAAATCGGCTTGTAGGGTGAGGATTGTCCCCATTTATAAACACAACACAGGTCATATCTCTAAGCAATATGGGACTACATTCACCCCTTCAAAGCCAATACAATGAAGGTGTTAGAGGGTGCAACGAAGGCAAGCCAAAGTGCCACAATTAAGGCAACTAGGACCGGACCACAATTAAGGCAAAAATTCCAACAATACCGAAGTTTTGAATTTGTTAAAGAATAACCTGGTTATGGAATAAATTGTAAATAGCCTTTTGTTTCTACCTAATTTCTTTCGGCGACTTGGCTTGTTTGGCGATGGAGCCTGAATCAACAACATGAAGCCTTTGTTTAACCTCAACATGCATCGCAAGGACAAAGCCACCAGTAATGGTCATTGAAATTACACATGTTTGTATCGTATCACCTAGTGACGTGATAGACTTGCAGGTAGGGGTAGGAATAGGCTGGATCGAGTTTAGTTTTGTCAAGCCTAATGTATGGTCGGTTAAAAGAATCAAAACCTAAGTTTGACTTGTAGTTCGTCATAGACTTATCTTTTAACCTGGTTGGCCTATTAGTCTACTTAAAAGTCTATTTCATTTGAATATATGTAAATAAACAATTTAAAAGTTTAAATAGACTAACAAACTAAAAGACCAATAAGATATAAAAGTTTGTGTGCATTGACTTATCTGAGTTTACCTAATAGCATAAGTTTTGTGAGACAAATTTATAGGGATTATTTATGAAAACATCTTATAACATTGTCCATAAGGTGTTTTCAATCTATTTTCATAACTTATTTCAGATCACTAGGTTTTATTTTTGTATTTTAATTCAAAGTACAAAATATATAGATTTATAAAAAAGCTCAAGTGTTTTCAATTTAAAAAATCCTAATTTGTCCTAGACTTGCATAGGCTAGGTCGTAGGTCCCTGTTAGTTGGTTTGACTTATTCTCACTCCTACTTGTAAACGGCGACGTGTTTTTTTATACTCTATTTAAGGGTTGTTAACAACAACAAAAAACCTAGGATTCTGGAATTTCGCAACTTGAAAAGGACAACAAATGCATAGTGGAGGTAAAGAAGTTGAATGTTCATCCTTGAAAACAACAGACTGAAGATTCAATGGATTCCTGCATGTAGAGTTTCATCATTATCATGTTGTTTATTTTCATGAACATGAATAGCTAAGTTCTTTAAACTTGTGTTAATAGAGAATTCTAGAGCATTATAACCTAGAGGAGGGGATTCAAAATTTAACTTCTTTTCCTAAATTGTTAATATGCGGTCTTAAAATTGTATTTGGGAATTGAAGTTATTCAAATTATTTACGTAATTACCTAAGTATGAATAACTTTCTTGTGTGGATAAATAAATTTAAATACAATCTTTATGGAGAAAATTTTCTTATCACTTCATTACTAATTACAATTTAGTACACTTGTCAAATTTTTATTTAATAACAAGTGATTCTTATACTTAACCAATCATGGTGTGTCACATCTTCACTTCCAAAGTTCCTCTACATCGATATTATTATGTTTATCATTTGATTAAACTCTTGTTATTCCTCCTCCAACACCCCTACTCTCTTCATCTTCAATAGGCCCAGTTGTAGAGAATCAAGAATGTTGTCTAATAAAGCTGTAGTGAATCAAGAAAGAATGTTGTCTAATAAAGTTGTAGTGAATCAAGAATGTTGTCTCACTGGCTCAATAGCAGAGAGCCGGCACAAACTGCATATACAACAGCTCCCCAGTTAAATCATTTTCTCCTAAGAGAGGATTGGCTAATTATTGCCATCTTCGCAAACAACATCCTTACCATTCAAGAGGTAGTTGCCACCATATTTGCTAACAACTTGCATAAGATTTTTGTCTCCAATCTCTTGAACAAAGTAGTCCAAAAGCTTAAACGTTGCATCGAAATCTTCATATAGACAAAACCCTCGATATTTTTTATCAACATAGTCCACACTTAGAGAATTGACCAAAAAAAATTGAACAATCTCTTAGACTTTTGTTCCACCCATGCTTCAGAAATGATACAGACATGGTAGAGCATACATTTTGAACTTGCTTTATCTCAAGCCCCTTTAAAATTTGCATTATGGACTCTAGTTCCTATTTTAATAGGGAAACTTATCTCATGGTAACTTGGAGGTTTCAAGCGTTGGTGTTAAAAACTGCACATTAGATAATATTTGATTTAAATATATGTCTATAAGTAGGGACAATTCTCAACTTACAAACCATTTTTGTGGAGTTGAATTATCTAACTACAATTTTAAAAGTCCATAATGTTGAAAGTGTAGTGTGGACTTCCAATAGCTTCAATCAATTGAAGCACGATCCAAATTTATCCGATACAAATATTAGAAGTGATTTTGTTAGTATGATATATTGCATTTTCTTAAACTCAGTATTCGGCCGAATGACCAGACTGTATTGGAAGTGTTGTCTTTAGAATCTGCCTATATAATTTAAACATACATTTTACAGTGTGACTTTCTATTTTTGTCTTTTTCAACAAGTTATCATAAGTTATCCAATATCTATTCTGGAACCTGTTATTGGCTCACAGAGATCACATTCCTAAGCAATATCTAGGTGGTTTTCTCTAGTAGGGGAAGCATGACTCAGGGATGTTAGAGCCATTTTTGGTTGCAAGCTAAGGCAAAAACAACCTAGTAGTTATCCCTGTAAAACTCACAGAGGCCAGCGAGAAACTATTTCAGTTATACCTAAATAAATTTAACCCCCTTTTCCCCGATTGTTCAACCAACAAGGAGCTAATTGTGCCATAATGACTCAGTTAATTACCATCCATTCCATAATTTATCTGAATTCCAAGAATCATAGCTATAGCATACTCAACGCATTAATTCCGTAACAAAGTACATAATGTATTACTATTACACTAAAATTTATTTTTCAACTCACTTTAGCCGGAATCAATTTTATTTTACTCAACACACAACCATCAAACATATTTCAAAAGCAATTCTACTTAACAACCAGCAAGCATTTCAAAATCAATTTTAATTCTCTAGGATCAATTTCGTTTCACTCAAAACGGAACCAAACACACACAAGAAGACAGAATGACGGTACCTGGAGCAGCGCTAACCCTAGCATTCCCCGATTCAGCAACAGCACGTGCAATATTTCCTCCATCTTGAAGTTCCTTGAACCTCTTCAGTTCCATTTCAACACTCATCTTTTCCAACCTTTGAAAATGGACTTCCTCGCTCAACAGAGCTATTTCTCTCTTCTTATCTTCGATTTCCGCCTTCAACTTTGTTTCCCTAAAAATTAGGGTTTCTTCAACCCTATCAAAATCTCTCTGACGAAATGAATCTCTCAGCTCAGAAATCAGCTCCGAGATACTCATCATACTGTGGCAGCGGTTGCTCCGGTTACTCTAGTATTCCGGTACGAAAAATGGGAGTGATTTGGGTGGGCGAAGTTTGAGAGAAAACGGAAGAGGGAACGTGAACAAAGAAATTAACAAGTTTGAAATGTGGATATGTGCTACGACGTCGTTTAGGCGGATGTTAGTTCATGAAATATATGATTCAGTAAATGAAAAATTGCATATTTAGTCCTCCAAAAAAATAAATTCTGAAATCATCTCACAATTATACAAAAGACAAATAATGATATTGAAGCATCTCTTAAAGAGTTTTTTTTTTTTAAATTAACCTATTTTATAAGTTACTCTATTTTTCAAAAGAGTAATGATATAGTTTTAGAGGATAATTTTAAATTCATTTTAAATTTAATTTTCTTTTTAATAGAAATTATAGGATAATAATAGTAATAATTGGTTGAGATTTAATTCTTGTCTTTCTTATTTTCATATTTTTTTATTAATAAATATTTTTCTTTTCAAAATATATTTTTAAATATTTTATTTTTTACCATCAAATAATTGTGTACGTATCAATCATACTTAATAGAATGAATTAGGCATATGATATTTTAAATTATTGATTAATTATTTTTGTTTTGTTTTATCTTTAACTAATAAATTAAATGTGTATAGAAATTATGTACCTTTAATTCAATTTTAGACGGGAAATTAAGCAATGTAATAAAGAGGAGACAATATTGAGAGTTCACTCAAAAGTATTGAGAACTCACCTAAAGTACTAAGAGATTGTTCAAGAATATTTAGAGCTCGCTTGAAGTATCAAGAGCTTGCCATAGATTGATAATTCGTACATTATATTATGATTGGATAAACCTGCTATATAGATCAGATTGGCCTTTGCACCTGAAACTAATGCAAGAGGAATATTCGAATTTATTTAGGATTAAGGATGATAATAAGTTTGGCTAATTTTTTAAATCTATCAGGTCAACCTATTTAAATAAATATGAAAAAATTATTATTACTATTATTATTATTATTATATTTTAGGTTTTATTTTAAATTAAAACACAAAAATAAAATTTAGTTATCTTGAAGAACTTATGAAAATAGACTAAAAATACCTTATGAACAATGCCATAAGTTGTTTTCGTAAATAAATAGTCTCATAAAATTTATAGTACTCGATAAACTCAAATAGGTCAATACAAACAAACTTTTAGTGTCGTGGATCTTTTAGTTTGTTAGTTTATATAAACATTAGTTGAATTGTTTATTTACATGCGTTTAAATAAAATAGATTTTTAAGTATACCAACAGGTCAACCACTCCTTTGAAAAGGCTACACTCCTGAATCGTTTCTAGATGAGAATCTGGAGTAAGTGTCAGGATGACATCCGCCTTTGGATCGTACCTGAACCGTTTCTAGATGAGAATCTAGAGTAAGTGTCAGGATGACATCCGTCTTGGGATTGTACCTGAACTGTTTCTAGATGAGAATCTGGAGTAAGTGTCAGGATGACATTCGCCTTTGGATCGTACCTGAACCGTTTCTAGATGAGAATCTAGAGTAAGTGTCAGGATGACATCCGTCTTTGGATCGTACCTGAACCATTTCTAAATGAGAATCTGGAGTAAGTTTCAGGATGACATCCGCCTTTGGATCGTACCTGAACCATTTCTAGATGAGAATCTGGAGTAAGTGTCAGGATGACATCCGTCTTTGGATCGTACCTGAATCGTTTCTATATGAGAATCTGGAGTAAGTGTCAGGATGACATCCGTTTCTGGATCGTACCTGAACTGTTTCTAGAAGATAGTCTGGAATAAGTATAAGGATGACATTCGTCTTAAGATCGTACCTGAACCGTTTCTAGATGAGAATCTGGAGTAAGTGTCAGAATGACATATGTTTCTGGATCGTACCTGATCCATTTCTAGATGAGAATTTGGAATAAGTGTCAGGATGACATCCATATTTAGGTCGTACCTGAACCGTTTCTAGATGAGAATCTGGAATAAGTGTCAGGATGACATCCGTCTTTGGATCGTACTTGAACCGTTTCTAGATGAGAATCAGGAGTAAGTGTCAGGATGACATCCGTCTTTGGATCGTACCTGAACCATTTTTAGTTGAGAATCTGTAGTAAGTGTCAGGATGACATCCGCCTTTGGATCGTACCTGAACTGTTTCTAGATGAGAATCTAGAGTAAGTGTCAGGATGACATTCGTCTTTGGATCTTACCTGAACCATTTCTAGATGAGAATTTGGAGTAAGTGTCAGGATGACATCCGCCTTTGGATCGTACCTGAACCGTTTCTAGATGAGAATCTGGAGTAAGTGTCAGGATGACATCCGTCTTTGGATCGTACCAGAACCGTTTCTAGATGAGAATTTGGAGTAAGTGTCAGGATGACATTTGCCTTTGGATCGTACCTGAACCGTTTCTAGATGAGAATCTGGAGTAAGTGTCGGGATGACATCCGTCTTTGGATCCTACCTGAACCGTTTCTAGATGAGAGTCTGAATAAGTATCAGGATGACATCCGTCTCTGGATCGTACTTGAATCGTTTCTAGACGAGAATCTGGAGTAAGTGTCAGGATGACATCCATATTTGGATCGTACCTGAACTGTTTCTTGATGAGAATCTGGAGTAAGTGTCAGGATGACATTCGTCTCCGGATCGTACGTGAACTATTTCTAGACGAGAATCTAGAGTAAGTATCAGGATGACATCCGTCTTTGGATCGTACCTGAACCGTGTCTAGATGAGAATCTGCTTTATTCAAAATGTGTCTGTTGGGGAAGGGAAACTCCGTAATCCGCTTGGGGAATCCTGAGAAGCTTGGCGACTTCACTGGAGAGTTTTCTTTGGAGCAATAATTTGGAGATTTTGCTATGGAGAGGGTATGATAACACTTGACATTAATAGGTTGTAAGCTGAGAATATGGTGGTGACCTCGTAGTAGAATGCCCTTGTCTCGATACATGTTCTAGAAAATATTAACCGGGGATTTTGTAGATGGTTTGACTATTATCCCAACTCTTGGAGTCCTTGGTGAATGTCGATCAAGGTAATAAACCTTCTACTGATTAGACAAGTGACGAGATAATGAGACGTAGTCATACACTTTAATCCCTAACTTTTTCCTAGACTGTCTTTTCAGATTTTCAGTCCATCGGGATACCCTTTTTTTCCCAAGCCGCCTTTTCAGGTTTTCGACTTGCCGGGTGTACAGGTTTTTTTTGTTTTTATCCCTAATTTTTGCCCGAACCCTTTTGGTTCGCTGGGATGCCCTTATTTTTGCCTAGGCCAGTCAACCTAGCGGGTCTTTGTTCATGCGTAATATTTTCGGACTATGTCCATGTTCACCGGGTACGGAGAATTGTCATTGTCCATAGTAGTAAGTGTTGCCACACTGCCAGAAGATGTTTGTTTGATCGTACAGGAATCGTTGCTGGAATTCATGCCCAATGCCCCAAGTGATTCAGATGGAGATCTGCCCCTGGCTATTTGGTATCTTTGAGAGATTCCTTGAATCTTGACTTGACTGCCCCAGATGATGGACAATGATCATGTCGTTCCCCTTGGTTGGAAGTGTTTTTCCACTTGAGGTAATCCTTTTCATTGAGAAGGTTTTTATTCACTAGATATTCGTCATGCGAATTTCTTTGTTGTTGAACAAATAGTCATATGCAAATAATGGTATTTTAATAATGCAAAACTTATGTCTGTCTTGAAGTTTGAAAATTCATTTTTTAGTAAAACAAACAAATTTTGTAAAAGTGTGATGTCAACTCAGGATTTATAGCAAGTCCTACAGGAGTCAGGATACCTTTTGTAACAATATGCTTTCGAACTAACTCATGCTTCATCTAGGACTTTTAAGGGTTATAACGTGTCCTGGTTCATGGTTCAAGAAACAGAGGATAAAGGCTCAAATTTTATTTGTACCCAACCCGTTCTCCGTGATGTTCTTCAGTCACATGCTCAGTTAATTATGTATTTTGAATCCCAATTGAGTTTTGGAATGTCCTTGATATTCCGGTGATGGTTTAGAGATTGAACGTTTGTTTGAGAAGGCAGTCATTTTTGTAACCTTTTCTTTTTTTTTGAGGATTTGTACGACCTTTTTTTGTGATTTTGTTATCCCTGTCTTTTGCCTGAACTATTTCTTTTGTGATTACGGTCAGCGGGATGCCCCGATTTTTTCTTAAGTCTCTTTCATAGGTTTTGACTTAGCGGGCTTTTATTTTGAGAGATAATGACTGCCGGTTTTAATGATTATGCGGAACCATCACCATCTTCTGATTTAGAAGGACGTCTTTGATGCCATTCATTATGTATGAAGTAGAATATTGCGACTGCATGCGCATCTGAATTAACTGAGAAAACTATCCTGCCCCAGGTTATGATTAAGGGTTTTAATTTGTGTGAAAAGAAAAACTCCTACTTCTTTGGCTCAAAGGGGTTGACTAGGGATTATCTTCCTTATAACTCCACTATTTTGGATTTGAAACAACGCATGTACATCGTCAGCAAGGTCTGTTCAAAAGCACAATGTATGGATTGTGGTATCGTTTTTGTCATCCTCCCTCTAAAGGCTTATAGCTTTTTAATCGAGAGTCAAATATCACGTAAAGGAAGCAAGAAAACAGTTTAAATAAAATGACAATGAAATCATTCAAGACAAACATATGCGATGCATTAATGGGCAAACCAAAGTTCGGCATAACAGTAATTGTTTGAACAACAAATGAAACTACAAATGAAAAATAAAAAATGAACTGGACGTTCTCAATGATTTGGCCTAGGAGCAGTGATCACTTTGTGAGTCTCTGGAGGGTCGAATTCAATCTCTTTGGCATCAATCATATCCTGAATTTTGTTCTTCAAAGCCCAGCAGCCATTTGAATCATGTCCAAGACTATCAAAATGGTATGCACACCTTTCGTCAGGGTGGTAACTAGGAGCAGAAGTATTGGGGTTCTGTAGAGGAGCCTTTAACGTAATCAA